GGGGGGGGGGGGGGCTACGGTTTCAGTCGACAGTTGGTGAGCGCTGTCTCTGCACGACCCGCAACGGAAGCGGAAGAGACGACACCCGAGGATGTCGGTGGCAGCAGGGACAGGAGTGGCAAGGGCAGCAGTGCTGCCGTGGAGCGGGCCCTGTGGCGGCTGGACCAGGACATTCGACGGACGGGTCGCGTGACGCGTCGGGACGTGGAGAACGTGCTGGCGGAGGTGCGGCGTGTGGGCACGGCGACGAGCACGCAGGCCCTGCTGCTTATTCGGTGTTGCGGTGCCCTCGTGGCAGACGACCCTCCGCCCGTGCGCACGCGTCTGGCCCAGGACGTGTGGGCTGCATTGGACGAGACCCTGGGGTGAGATATATACTGTAAATGTGTAGTATATTAGTCTGTTCAATGGTGTGTGTGTGTGTGTGTGTTTTAAATCTTTGAAAATTTAAATCAAATCAGCGTCAAGATGGACGTGAGCCACTTCAACGCCCTCCTCCGCGTGTTTCTGGAGAACGAGCACAAGTTTGCCCCGCTCGAGTTCCTCGCGTACATGCAGAAGGAGCGCGGGGTGGAGCCGAACCGAGTGACGTACCAGCGTCTGGTGATGCGGTTCTGTCAGGAGGGCGACATTGCCGGCGCGTCTAAGATCCTGGAGTTTATGAAGGCCGAGGGACTGCCCATCAACGAGGCCGTGTTCCACGCACTCATGCTGGGCCACGTGCGAGCCGGCGACAGGGCCAGTGCGAGGGCCACGCTGGACCTGATGCGCCAGGCCCAAGTGCAGCCCACGGCGGCGTCGTATGCGGCTCTGCTCAAGGCCCTGGCGGAGCAGCCCCAGCACGCGGTGGACGATATTCGAGAGGCATGATATGTGCAATACAATACAATACAATGCATTGACGAAACGATGTAGATTGATTGATTGATTAATTAATTAATTAATTAAACGAAAGGTGTACGAGGAATGCGACAAGTTGGAGCTGGAGATGAGCGATCGCGAGCATCTGGACGTGCTCGTGACTCTGGCCTCGGCCCCGTGTTCCAAAGACGACGGCTCTGAGCGATCCGTGCAAGAGTTGATGGACAGCATCTTGTCGGTGTCGGGCGGGCGACTGCGACGAGTGTCTGGTTTCAACCAAGATGCCCTCAACGCCTGCATGCGACTCATCAATGCGGGGCGGGAAGACGTGGCGAGGAAGGTGATGGCTCTCATGTTGCGTCCGTCGTCGTCATCATCTTTGGGAGACGGGGAAGAGACGGGAGGAGACGTCGTCGTCGACGAAGACGACGGCGACAATTTCCAGTCGGGGGCATTTTTCATCCGACAGATGGTGAAGGCGGACAGGGTGAGTGAACTGTTGGATGGATGATTGGTTTCTTCTTTTTCTCTCTTTACAAAATGCACGCTTATTTAAATGGTGTATTTGGACACGCAGCCGATTGAAAAGACGCTGGCGTATGTGGACGAGTTTGAGCGGGACAGGGTGCACACGAAGGCGAGTTTGGTGGCGCTGCAGGCTGCCCTGAGTCTCGGGCGCAGTCCCGTGGCCCTGGCCGTCATGCAGCGAATGGCCGACGACCAACGCTACCCTCTGCGTCCGCACTACTTTTGGCCGCTGTTTGCCCGAGCCGGAGGGGCTGCATCTGGCCCAGAAGTGGTCAAGGGTGGGTTTCATTCGATTTGATTTGATTAATTAATTGTATTGTACAATGTGTTGTTGGGACTGTATGTATGTATGTATGTATGTATGTATGTATGCAGAAGTCGTTGGGGTATTGCGGCAAATGACCAGTTGGGGAGTGAGCATCAACCTGGAAACGGTGACCGACTACGTGTTGCCCAGACTGATGCACTCGGGTTCGTCGTCGTCGCCGATGGACGTGGTGAACGAGCTGCAGGCGGCTGGTGTGGGCCTGGCTGTCGCTGCGAACGCCTGTGTGCGTCATCTCTTGCTGCGTGGCGACATTTCTGCAGCTGCGGCATTGGGTGAGAGAAGGAGGGAGACAGACCTGGTATCTTCGTCTAGCACGGTTTCATTTATTGTTTTTCTTGTTGTCCTCCGCTTGCCCTCGCAGCGAGGTCGGGAAGAGTGCCGTCGCTGTCGTGGCGCTACCTGCACGGGGAGCTGAGGGACGCGTTCGTCAAGACGGGAGCCGTGAAGCCCACGCTGCAGCTCTTGTCGCATCTGACGTTTGGATCCAAGGACGGAGGAGGAGGAGGAGGAGGATCAGCATCAGCATCAGCAGCAACAACAACAACAACAACATTGACGAGTGAGGAGGCCGCCGCCTTATTGCCGGCCCGCTTTTGCTTCCTTGTTTTGCAGCACGAGCGAGTCCAGTCGGACGTTGGTCGCATCGAAGCGTTACTCGAGGTGAGGAAGAGGAGAAGAAGAAGGAGAAGGAAGAAGATGATGATGATGATGATGATGATTGTTGTTCCTTCCTTTCAAACAGGGAATGGCGAATGCCGGCTTTGGTCTTTCCGTGTCGGCCAGTGAGCAATTGGCGGCGGAATTGGGGGCTGGTCGTGTGACCGAGTCCATCTCGAGCTCGTTGGAGAAGTTGACTGCGAATCCGGAAAGTGCAGGAGGCCCGAGGACGATGGCGGCATCGAGGCGACGGTCGTTGCCAGACAATGTGCGTTTTTCTTTTCATTATCCCCTCCCCTTATCGGTCGAGGAAGCACTTGCGTGTAAAATGATGCTTTTTTGCAGAGGACATTCGTGTTGTCGACGTTGGAAAAGAGGCTGGAGACGGTCGGGTCCGAGGACACGGAGGAGAGGGCCAAGATCCTGAGGCAGGTGCTGAGTCTGCACGTGCGGGAGCGGAACGTGGAAAAGACGGAGGAGACGCTCAAGGTTGGTTGGTTGGTTTTTTGTTTGGTTTATGTGTATGAGTGAGTGAGTGAGTTGATGATTCATCCATCGATTTGATTTGATTTGATTTGATTGAATGGCGTGGCGTGGCGTAGAGAATGGAGGCGGAGCAGTTGTCGGTGCCCATCGGGTTCCTGGCCCTCTTGGTGGACATGTACTCGCAGACGGGCGATGCGCACAAGGCCCTGGGCCTGTTTCGAGAGTTCTCGCAACGAGACCCGTCGGCACTCATGGACACGGCCAAGGTGTTCCGGCTGGCGAATGCCCTGGCCAAGGAGGACCGTTTCCAAGGTAAGGATTTTTTTCTTGCGTGAATTGCCTTTCCCTCAATTCATTATTGAATGAATTGATTAATGTATGTATGTACGTATGTATGTATTTTGTTTTTTTTTGTGTGTAGAGGCTCTGGATGTCGTCAAGAGTGCAGCTAGTGGTGGTGGTGGTGGTATGAAGCAGCAACAAGAAATGGATGCCAACGGTGGTGCTGGTGGTGGCGGCGGCGTGAACGCTGTGTGTTGTTGGCGTTTCCTCAACACGCTGGCGGAGAAGCAGCGGGCGGACGAGTTGCGCGAGGCCGTGGACATTTTGAGAGAGTCTTCTCTCGTCCGTCTCACCAATGTGTTGCTCGGCCCACTGGTGAAGGTGCACCTGCTGCAGGGCCAGAAGGAGGAGGAAGACTCGTCGTCGTCGAACCACCTGGAAAAGGTACAGTACAGTATTTAAAAAATGGCAGAAATGAAGATGAAGCAAACTTTTGCTTGTTTTGTTTATCCCTTTATTTATTCATTTATTCATTATTAATATAATTGCTTTGTCTTTCAGGCTTTGGCTGCATTCAAGTTTGCCGCTCAAGAGTTCCGATGCACTCCCTGGAAGACAGAGTTGACGATGGCGCTGATTGAGCGCGAGGACGCGGACGGGCTGCAGCAAGTGGTGGACTTGTCCACCAAGGTGCACGGGGAACTCAACTCGCTCTACGACCTCGTGTTCTGCTTCCTCGACTCGGGCCGGACGAGACAGGCCAAGAAGATCCTGGAGACGCCCGGGCTGAGGGCGAGGAACTACAAGCTCAAGACGGTGTGCGAGCGCTACGTGGACGAGGGCCGGGTGGACGACCTGGACAAGCTCGTCGGACTCACCAAGGACATTTTCGACACGGACCGACAAATGCTCTACACGTATTTGCTCAAGGCCATGTGTGAGTGTCTGTCTGTCTGTCTGTCTTCTCGCTTGTTGTTGGTTGTGTGCCTTAACCATCCCACGATGATGACGACTCCTTTTTTTCTTCTTCTTCTTCTAGGCAAACGTGGAGATGCTGCCGACAAGGTCCTTGGGCTTTGGACGACCATGCAGGAGGAGGAAGGCGGCACGAGTGTGCAGCCGTCGGATGAATTCCTCACGATCCTGGCCAACTACCTCAAGGAACGGGGAGAACCAGTGCCGTTTGCGGTGCCGCAAAAAGTGGCGAGGAAGAATGGAGAAGAAGAAGAAGAAATGACGACGAGGCGTGAGAGACGGCGAAAGGATCAACGACAGGGAGAAGGAGAAGAGAGGAGGAAGAATGTAACGAGTGTTGCTACTCCTTTTGCTGCTGCTGCTTCTTCTTCTTCTTCTTCTGAAGTGGCAGCATTGCGACGATCATTGCGCAACGGGGACGTCGATTCAGCACTCAAGTTGAAGACAGAGTGAGTTGTGCTTCAACACTTGCCGCCACGAATAATAATGATGATAATAATAATAATGATGCGAATATTGACTGACAGAATCGAGTTGAAAGACGGCGGGCAGAAGCGGGTGCCGGTGACGGACGTGTCGCACCTCATTTCGCTCTTGCTGAACGGGGAGCGCGTGGACGAGGCGGTGGGACTGGCGACGGAGATGCGGGCCCGTGGCCAGCACCCGTTGCCCAGCACGCTCAAGTACCTCCTGGCCCGATTGGCGGCACTGGGCGACCACGACTCCATCATGGCCCTGGGCGACCACTTGCCGCTCGACCTCAAGAAGCGCGTTTCCTACGACAACCGACTGTGTTCGGCTCTCATCCACGCGGGCCAGGGCCAGCGAGTCTTGGACGGATGGCGCGGGATCCAAGACGCCCAAGTGCTCAAGGAAACGTTTCCGATGGGCGGTGCGTTGGCCCTGTTGCACAGTAGCAGTAGTGAGGGTGGTAATAATCCTGAGCAACTCGTCGCCGACTGTGAGTGGTGTTGATGTATTTATTTATTTATTTGGGTTTCATTACATCACCATTTACTGTCTGTCTGTCTGTATGTATGTATTGCTTTGTTCAGATGAAGCCTTTGCCAAACACGTGGGAGAGAAGCACAAGTTCCTGCGTCCCCTCAACATGCTGTGGATGTGGCTGTTGACGAGTGGGCGGTTGGACGAGAGTCGAGCCGTGTTTGAGCGACATCTGCGCGACGCGGACGAACTCATGTTCCGCAGTCTCTTGCGAGTCGTGCGCACGGACCACAACGTGGACCTGGCCCAGGAGTTGATGGCCAGAGTCAAGGACACGCGCGTGTCGCCCAAGTCCAAGGGCATCGTGCTCAGTGCGCTTTTGGACACTCAAGGTGATGACGACATATACAGTACTATATACATATATATATATATATATTTGTTGGTGGTCGGGTTCAGACTGTAACGCACTTGTGGACATGACTCTCTTTCTCTTCAGCCCGTCAATAATTGTTTAAATAATTTACGAGGGGATGGATGCATGTAATTGTTTTTACCTACAAATGTAAAAATTATGATGAAACACACTACTGTATTGTACTGTGAATTTTTCAATATACAGAATGTACTGTACTCTACTGATGATGATGATGATGATGTGCTGTATTTAGTTCATTGCGGACGCGTGGATGAAGCCATGGAGAAGCTCAAGACGTCGTTGGACGACTCGTTGTGCCAGTTGACGGACTTGGGACACGCAACATTGGAGCGACTAAAGGCGTCGGCCGAACTGAGTGGTCGTCAGTTTCCCTACACGATTCCTCCCAAGCAGCAGCAACAGACAAGAGCCGTAATTTTCTCGCTCTTTTTATTTATTTATTTTTTTAATAAAGTGACGTTTCTTTTTCTTTTCTCTAGCGTGGTGGTGGATCTGATGAAGATAAGCATTTGGAGGAAGGTGAAATGATGTGATGACAAATGTCTGTCAGAGGAGGAGGAGAAGAAGAAGAAGAAAGGAAAGAGGGCATAAAATGGTGCGACACGAATTGGCTTGTCTGTCTGTCTCCATCAAAATTCCCTGTGTGCCTTCAATTGATCTCTCTCTCTCTCCCTCTCTTTTGTGTGTCCCAAGTCGATGGTGTCTAAAGAGGACATGAATTGAATGATGAACGTAGTACCCGTAGTTAATTTCCTGGGTAGAAACTCGAATGGGCCATTTTGCGAATGGATTTTGTTGTTGTTGATTTTGTAGGAAAAGGGTGACTGAAGGAAAAAAGTAATGCAAATTGACTGCAAATTGAGTGCAATACGAATTTCCGCCTTCGTTTTTCTTCTCGCGCGTTCGACACTTTCTGGCGAGTTTTCAGTCGACTAAAATGCTGGACTTGGAAAGAAAAAAATTCAAGCAGCTCACTCAGGTTCAGTTCGATCGAACTTGATCCTCGGAAGTCAATCAATGGATTCGTTGACGACAATGAATTCAGACTACAGTTTTTTGTTTGTTTGGACGGTAATTCCAACAAGTGAGGGGGGAAACTTCATTTTGCTTCTCAAGGTGGGAGAGAAAACTAACACAAAAACACGGCAACCCCTATTGGCGAATGATCTGCTTGCTTGTTCGTTAGTCTACTACAGGACTTGTACTGACTTCAATCAATCAATCAATGAAACAAAAAAAATGGGTTCAATTTATTTTATTTTATAAAGAGAGAAAGATGGTATCACGGGTACAATCAATCATTTGAAAACATGCCCTCGGCGGCGCACACGAGTTGGTAGAAACAAATGCCCGCATCACTAAATGGACAGGTCCATCACTTGAATGAATGGGAGACTCTCCATGAAACAAACAAAAAAAAAAGGGGGGGGGGGGGTGACCTGCAACCTCGTGTTTCTTATCTAACAAAAAAAAAAAAAAAAAAAAAGGGGGGGGGGGGGATGACCTGCAACCTCGGGATTCTTATTTTTGTTGTATGTTCGTCAGTTGAGCCGTTTTTTGTTGCATTTTCCGGAACCCAACCTATCCATTCCGCACTTTCCTACAATTTATTAATCAAATAATGTCTTTCAGGGGCTGACTGGCAGAGTCAGTCGCTCAGTTCCCTTCAATTAGAAAAACAAAACAAATAAACCGACACCTTTTCGCGTATCACAACTTGCTAAATAAACAAAGCATGCACGCAAAGCAAACAATCGACAGGAGTGCGTGTCAGGTCGACAACAGAGGGGCTGATGACATCAAGCTTCGAACTCACGAGAAAAGAGGAGGAGTATCAGTTCACAATGAAACAAATGTGGTGGTTTGTTTGTTGGTTGGTTGATCGATTGATTGATTAGTTTAGTCCAACCAACAACGGCAACAACAAAATACACGAGGAATAAATAAAAAAAAAAAAAAAAGTTGATCGGCTGACTGACTGACTGACAGGCGAAAGGGGGAAAAGAAAGACGAGAACCTCCCTCACTCCCGTCTATTCTCATCCATGGTATCTACCGTTTGACACAAGTAAAGCACCGTTTTTTTTTTTTTTTTTTTTTTTTTTTTTTTTTTTTTTTTTTTTTNAATACGCCGTTTTTTTTTTTTTTTTTTTTTTTTGACTGCTCAGAGTTGCTCTCGGGCCTTCCCAACTTCTTCCTCCTCCTCCTCCTCCCCCCTTTGTTCCCTCAAGATGATGCAACAAATTCGACTATCCCACACGGTCAAGTGCGTGTGTGTCAGTCGCACCTGCTGCTGCTGTTGTTGTTGTTGTTGTCGGATGAGACTGTGACGACGACGACGACGTCATAAACATGGAAGACCTGCGTGCGTAGTAAATGAAATAAATAAAATAAATAAATAAATGATGCGCGTCAAAATATCAAGCAAACAACGCTCATCATCCATATAGTAATGTTCCTCTCCATCCATTGTAAAATAAAAACCTACCTATTGTGTTTGAGGTGCGAACGCACCAACTCGCCAGCTGCCAGGGCCCCCATGAGCGACAACTCGCCCGCCAACACCGTGGCGCCCACGATCCGCGCCAGCTTCTGCGCATTCGCTCCGGGCACCGTGGCCGAGGCCCCGCTCACGCCCAACAGCGACAGACACGCCTGTTGCGCCGGCAACACCGTCCCGCCGCCCACCGTGCCCAACTCGAGCGACGGCATCGTCACGGACACGTACAAGTCGCCCTCGTCGCCGTACCGCTCCATCAGCGTCATGCAACTCGCACTGGCCACCACCTGGGCCGGGTCCTGGCCGCACGCAATGAAAATGGCCGCCACAATGTTGGCCGCGTGCGCGTTGAAGCCGCCAATGGAGCCAGCCACGGCCGAGCCCACGAGGTTCTTGGCCACATTCAACTCCACCAACGAGTCCACGTCCGTCTTGAGGACCTTGGCCACGACCGAGCCCGGGATCCGCGCCTCGCACACCACCGACCGTCCCCGGCCCTGGACCCAATTCACCGCCGCACTCTTCTTGTCCGCACAGTAGTTGCCGCTCAAACTCAGGATCTCCATGAGCGGGTAGTGGGCAGCCAGGACGCCGAGGGCCTTGTCGCAGCCCTTGGACACCATGTTCATGCCCATGGCATCACCCGTCGTGGCGACGAAGCGGAGAAACAAGTACCTGCCCGACACTCGGCACTGGATCTTGCGCAACTTGGCAAAGCTTTCAAGGAGACGTGAGATTGATTCATTCATTCATTCATTCATTCATTCATTCATTCATTCATTTCCTAGACCAGGTAGAGGGACAGAGGGGGCATGGACCACCAACATTGTACTACTGAACTACTCACTTGGACGTGGCGTCAAATGCCTGCTGCATCACGTGCAGGCCTGCCTCCGTCTCCAGGTAGTGCTGGCACTCGCCCGCTTGCAGCGCAGACGGGAACCGCACGACGGGCCCACGAGTCATGCCGTCGCCAAGGACGACGGTGCTCACACCGGCTCTTCCGTCGGGTCCCGCAATCTCCTCACTACCACCACCACCAGCAGTAGCAGCAGCAGCCGCAGCCAACGCGGCGGCTGTCCGAATAACAGCGGCTCCGCGACTCGTGCTGGCCACCAGACAGCCCTCCGTCGTGGCCATGGGCACATACACGGGCTCTCCGTCCACCAGCAGCGGGCCAACGAGGCCCACGGGCAGTCCGACATAGCCCACGACGTTTTCGCAACACGCGTCCTTGACCTGATTGTGCAAACGGGGGATAAGGATGCAGTAAGTTACGACGAGGATGACTCCACAACACCACACGGACACTCAACTCTTTCGTAGCTATAGCCCGTGTAAGGCACCATGTCCAGGGCCCGTGCAAACGCCTTCCCACGCCCACCATCCGCCTTGAGCGCGTAGATGCGACGTCTGAGACGCACGGCTCGCTCAAAGTCGCCCAAGGCGCTTTCCAGCTGGTGCGGCACCACGTGGCCCCGGGACACCAGGTCCAGCACTTCCGCGTCCGTCAGACCCGCGGGCCCCTCGTCGTCGCCCTCCAGCAACTGCAGCAAGTACTTGAGTGGACGGATGCTGGCGGCACTCCTCGTCGTCGTTGTCGCCGCCTTCAACTCCTCTTGTCCCACGTTGTTACTACTACTACTACTACTACTACTACAACAACTCGTGGTCGTCACCAGACTCTTGTCCAATCTAGATCCAATGGATACACACACAAAATACAGTGCAAGTGCAGACTACAAGTAATCAATTCATTCACTTACACCATAGACAGTAGGTGAGTGTCGTCCGTCTGCGTCATCTTTTCCAAGCCTGCAACGAGCCGGCGACCACGACCACGACCACGACCCCCACCACTCCTCCTCCTCCTCCTCCTCTTCTTCTTCTTCTTGTCCTTCTCCTCCCCACACGTCTCATCCTCCTCGTCACCACTGCTGCTGCTACTTCTGCTGCTGCTGCCCGAGTCGCCCACGACGAACGTGATGTTGGACGACGTACTGGACACGGTTCGGTTGCGACCCAAATCACCTGTTTTCATTGCCAAACAAAAGAGTGGGACAGTCAGTCAGTCCCCAATTACTATACTGCACAGTATACAGTTGAAAGAGTGGAGCAAGACCACCATCACCACCTTCAACTCCAACTTAAACAAGAGGTTTACAATAAAAACGAAAACAATTGAAATAATGAATCTGCACAATAAAGTAAACATCTTGTTAATTCTCTCATTTCCATCGTGTTTTTCTTCTTTCCTTGTCAATGGCGTCATCACCTCCACCACGACAGTTATAGGTCAACAACAAGAAACCAACTTAACCATCTTCCTTCCTTCCTCGCTCCATTCTTTCTTTCTTTCTTTCTTTCTTTATTCATTTCTTTCCTTTTTTACAGCCGGGTCAAGAAAAATGATGCGACAGAAAAGAAAGAAAAAAAAAAAAGACTATGAAGACTATATCCAATTCTCTGCCTCCTTCTCCTCTCTCACTCTGACATGACGAGGCATTTTTGGACGAGTAGCGTTCCAGCTGAGTCAGAGCTATTTCTGTCCCTGCTTCTTCTTCTTCTTCTACTACTACTACTATTACTAGTTCTACTACTACTCCTCCTGCAACTGCAGCCACCTTCCTCGACCGTCGCACGGACGCTGACACGTCACTCAGAAAACGCCAGACTTTCCTCATCATTTCTCTCGTGGCGATTAACACGAAAGAAAACTCTACAGAGTACTCTACTCTACCCTACCCTACCCTTCACAGTGTCAGCATCACCTTTTGATTTTCGTGGGAAAACAAACCTTCACCAAACAAAACGAAAGCGAAACTGTGAAAACGCACCTGACACGGTCTTGGTCCGATCATTGATACGGTGTTGTACTTGTTGTTTCGGCGTGCCAGACCGATTCCTCGACACAAAACAGGCGAGCGACATGTCGGGCGCAGAATCTGCCTTTCGCACTCGCAACTCCTGTCGGCGGACGGACGGAACGGACGGACATGGCCGCAAGACCCACACACTACCCTCACCCTCCTCCTGCTCCTCCTCCTTCTCTTTCTTCAACGAAGACGACGTCTCCTCGAGCAGAGCGCGATGCAACTCGTCCTCCGACTCTTTGCCCAACAGCGACTTGACCACCAGCGCCACGAACAGAGTCCCTAGCACCAGTTGCTCCGCGTTCCCGCTCACCCACCTGTCCAATCAATCAATCAATCAATCAATCAATCAATCCCAATAAAACGATACAACACACGACAACTGAAAAAAAAAAAATTAAAAGGCAACACATTAAAGAGAGAAGAAGAAGAAGAAGAACATTTTTTTTTTAAAATGCCAGGGAAGAAGGCTGGCAGTCGACTGACTCGCACCCGCTCTTATCCTTTCAACCCGAGTTTTCTTCAAAGCCAATAGCGGGAGGGCCAGGGTCACAGGGTAAGAGGTAAGAGAGGGGGCGAATCGGAAAGTCAAATTTCCATTTCAACAAGCAAGGCGGCGACAGGCATAACCACCACCAACAACAACAACAAGGAAAAAAAAAAAAAACAAGAAAAATCGAGTGCTCAAATCCAAATGAAGGAGAGAAGAGGAAAACGCTTCGTCATGCTCTTCATCGCTCTCACTCACTCACCGCAACAGCATCCGCGACAACTGCTGATGGTCCGCCGCCTCCATCGTCGCAGGATTCGGCATCAGGACGCCCACGGGCAACGCCGACCCAATGCTCCACTTCCCACCGCCCATCAAACGACTGCTCCCGCCCCAAGAACAAAATAAAAGAGGACAAACATTATTACATCAACTACTGTACAGTAATGAGTCACGCATGCGTCTACTGCATGTATTTACGTATGTATGCATAAGTATCAATGCTTTGTGTGTGTGTGTTTGGATTTACACCCCACCATAAGGTCGACGGTAAAAAAGGAAGAAAGGCAAAAATGAAAAAGAAAAAAACTCCTCGTCATCCAGGGCGGAATTGGTTCACTGAGCTAATCATTTTTTCAAACTCGAAATAAATCAGTATCCTACCTTGGAAACGACAACAAATTGAATGCGATTCCCTCCTCAAATTTAATTCACAAGCATGACGCCGCAAAATTACTCGCACTCGACAGTGGCCGTACCTTCGAACGTGGACCAGAGACAGTCCCAGGGCCATGATGACCTTGAGTCGGCCCACGACTGGGTTCGCATTCGCTTCCGACAACAACTTCCGCAGGTTCCCCAACTGCTCTTTCGTCGGACACTCGTGGCACTGGGACAACTGCGGACACACATGAATTAATTATTTGTTCATTCATTCATTCATTCATTCATTCATTCATTCATTCATTCATTCATCAATCAATCAGCATTCAATTCCTCGGTCGAAGTCATCAATGATCTGCGACTCACTTCGAGAAAGAGCGACAAGAGGGCCGGGAAGAGCGTGAGGAAGACGAGGAACCGGATCACGACGGACACGCACGCAAAGTAGCACAGCAACTCCAGCTTGCGCACTCCTAAACAGAATTAGAAACAGACACCAAGAGTGATTAAAAAAAAAAGAAAAAAGAGTTGAGCATGTACTGTGCGGTACCGCAGTATGAAAGAAAGAAAGAAAGAAATACAGTACTGTACATAGATAAAGCATGCAATTCTTTCAATTCTCACCCGACAATGTTCCCACGCCAATGACGAGGACTTCGACTGCAGCGTCCAGTGTGAGTGTGGGGCCCAAGAGCCCCATGCCCGCGGCTATCCGGCTACGGACTTGGGGTGCGGACCTGGCAGCCAGCGCGTACTGGGCCAGCACGCCGGCCCGCCCGGGGTCCACGAGGAAGGCGAACACAAACAGGGCATCCCTATATAAACATAGTATTCAGTACAGTAAAGTACAGTACAGTACTGTATAAAAAGAAAAAACAGACTGGTCGAACAATCACTCCGGCATCATCATCACCTGAGATCACTGAGATCCACTCGCAAACAATGGACCAAGACGGAACACAAGAGCACAGAGCAGTAGACGGCAAACACGGCGGCGATGGCCGGCACGTAACGAGATCCCATCTTCCCCACCTGCCGGACTTGGCGGTAGCAGTACAAAACAGAGGCACACCTCAACACCGTCATCCCCAGCACCCCGGCACCGGCAAATTCTCCCTGACAAGACAAGGCAAGGCAAAACCAAACAAACAAACAACACAATACAATACAATATTGGTAATGTACAGTACAGGGAAATGTTTTCTCCTACCTTTTCGCCAAATGGGTCGAGATCCACTACCGTCGTCGTCAACAACGGGTGCTGGTACATGCTGAGCACGCAAATGACCAGAGTGGCCGTGCCGCTCACCACTTCCCACGGCCTGCAGGCGCACAACCGGCCGTAGCCCTGGAACGCACGCTGCACGACGCCTGGCCCACCAGCAAGGCCACCGATTCCCCCACCGCTCGTCGCCATGCCGGTGGCGCCACAACAAAGCACCGCGCTTCCTCCTTCACAACCACCACGCCCCATTCAGGGTGAAATTTCACACAGACTGCACAATCGCTCACTATCTCTTCTTTCCTTCCTTCACAACACCCCTGGCAGGAGGATCAAAATCATCATCATGTTTTAAACACTCATCCATTCGAAAATAAACTTTCGAGAGGCATGGTCAACAAGTTCTGATGATGCTGATACGCCAAGTCATTAGCACTGCAATTGCTTTGAAAACTCTTGGACCATTCCCTCGCAATGTACACTTTCGAGAGACACAGAGAGTACTGATGGACAATAAACAAGGTACAAGACGTACGGTCACCCCTTTATTAATGTATCATCGACGACCGGCCACGATCCTGTATATACATATCAATCAATCAATCAATCAGGCACGTACAGTATAATGCGCACTTGACCAGAGATCATCAGAGCCTTGCTTATTCACAGCATCTCACGAGTCGGAATACAGAACTTGTACATTACAGTACTGCTACTGCACTGCCCAAACGTCGTCGCGCAGCTTTTCTCAAAGTCAAACAGATATTGCGTCTTGGTCGAGCAGATACGGTTGAATGATGTTGACGACGAACCAGTCCTCGGCAAATTGCAAGTGGTCGCCGTCCGTTCGCAGGAACTTGAGTCGCCCCTCGGCTTCCATTTGCTTCAACCCAAGTCGGTCCTGAGTGCCAGGGCCACCATGCACAGGGAGGGAGGAAAACAACATCACCACACATGTTTTGAGAAACAGGCAAGCAACCAACGGGATGATCCAATCAAACACGGGCACTGTACTGTACCTCAACATAGAGCGCAGACTGCTGCAGGGAATGCACCTTCTTGTCCTGCCCCGCGTCGTAGAATCCGAACCACTCCGACTCCCTCGGCTGCACCACCGAGTCATTGTTGAACATGACGAGCACCAAGTTGCCAACTTGCCCAAGGTTCCTCACGTACGATTCGTTCCTCTCCTTCCGTGAAAAAACAAAAAACAAACGTTCTACAGCAACAAAAAGAAAAAAGACGACGACTCACTCGTTCGTTGTTGATGTCTGCGAGAAACGAGCTGTACTTCCGGTAAGCGTCCAGATGGAATGGATCCTGCCAATACTGCGCAGGCACCAACGAGTTCTGGACCCACCTGCCAAGGAATCAAATTTAAATAAATCATTTCAGGAAAGCAAGAAATATTCTTTACAGAGTAACAATGCGTGTCATCTGTCACACAAATCACTGTGCACTCACTGAACATAGGCTCCATGGTCCAAAACTCGACGGGCCAGTTCGCACAGCTGATTGGAAGAGCCGAGGCATCTGGGCAGACCAAACACGCCCTGCTGCGGGCCACCGACCGAAATGAGGTTGCGGATCGGCGGCGAAGGACACCTTTGTGCAATTGCCCGCCTGCCAACGCGACACGAGACAAACAGTAGCAAGCAGAGTATAATTGAATCGTAAATGGAGTGTAATGCATTGAAAATCGTCCTGCTGCTCACATAAAGAGGGCCCCCTGCGAAAAGCCGACGGCATGGAACCCGTTTGCCAGACGCGAGTCGTTGCGGATCGTGTCGCACGCCATTTCAATTTGGTCGTTGATGTTCTTCAAGTAGCTGTTGTCAATGTCTTCCGCAATGTTGGACCCGATCCGCATGGACAGGATGTACGCGTCCGGCACGTGACGCTTCAGCATGCGCACCACGCCGCCCATGCTCAGCGGGTTGCAGCAAGAGTCACCTGTACGGGGGTGGGATCAATACGAAATCAGATCACTGTGTGTACTTTACTCTTACTCCTCGGCACCACTGCATCAGGTCCAGGAGGAGGAATGAAAAAAATAAAAATAATAATAATCAAGCCCAACAAAAAACACATTAATCACTCACTCACCTAATCCGTGCCAGATGACAATCGGAACTTCGGCTGAACTTGGAGAGAAAGAAGCCAGGGCACCACACACCGACAGGCACCAAAGGCCACGAATGCCCGTCATCCTGACCCAGTAACACTTTTGGAAGCACGAGTGTGCAATTCAGTAAACCATCATCATCATCATCAACAACAACAACAACAACAACGTGGAATACACAGACAGACCCGAACGCATTTCTCATTGTATTATCAATAACACATGAGAACAGCCCGTGAGAGAAACAAGACAACAAGTGTGGAGGCTTCTCTCATCTTCCATCTATCCATCCTCATCCTTCTCCCTCTACCCGCGCAAGTCCAACATTACATTACATTACATAAGAAGAAAGAAAAAAAAAAAAAAAGAAAGGAACGATTGACCCGCGAGTACGGAATGAATAAAACGAACGAAACAAGCAGACAGGCAGAGAGGAATGCTCCTTCCTCCTTTCTTGGCAACAATTACATCAGATAAATGCAATCTCACTCGGGTGGAATGCAAGGCAGCATTAAATTCACACACATTTCTTTGGTCTCACGACGAATGTAACGAGATTCATGTCCACACACACACACACACACACAACAGCCTTCCTACGCAACTTTCGATAAAGTGGGAGACAGCAAAGCGCTCGAAACACTACTAGGGCAGTCTTCCTTCCTCTCTTGAAACGCAGTCGAGGTTGTTCCGGCTCCTTGTCCTTCACTTTGCCTGCAACGAGGAAAAAGAAAAGACCAACTGTAGCGCTTTCTTCTTTGTCCAAAGACCTACTGCACAATGAAACGTTGAAAAGCCGTACATTAAACGTTGACGAAGCAGGAACCAGACAAAGACTGCAGCACCGAGCATGACTCCCATGAGCATCACGGGAGCTACAACGTCTGCAAGGAAACAAACGCGGTTTCTTTACTCAATAGTCGGAAGTAGGAAGTAGAGAAAAAGAAAAAGAAAAAAGAAAAGCAAATAATGACAACGAGTTTTGCTCACCGTTGACCAGGTCGAGAGACAACTGGCTTTTGCCTCCGACTTGACCTGTAAAAGAAGACGACTTGCTTCTCTCGTCCTCATTGCCATTTTCATCATAATCATCATCGTCGTCTTCTTCTTTTTCTTCATCATCTCCTTGTTGCCTTGCACTCATCAAAGCAGCAATTTGAGAGACACTTTGGCACTGGACACGGGTCTGGTTCCAATTGTTGTTTGGCAGGCATGAGAAGACAGCCCAGGGCCGAACAACGCGCGAAACCAAATAGGTTTTGCGACAAGACACCAGGGCATTTTTTGCCGACGACAACACCACTCGTCCGTGGCCACCAGAAATGACTAGTTTCCGACAGCCAACAACTGGCGGAAGAAAAATAAATAAATAAAAAGTGGGCCCCACAAAAGAAGGAACCCAAGCTCTTACTCCGCACAACTCGTGTTCGTCTCTCACACATTTTGAACAGAGTTACTCCTACCTGCCAACAGTAAACTACCGCCTGTGAATATGCCCAGGTGACTGTGGTTCAATTTGTGCAGATAGGGCAACTCTTACTGGGGACTTGTCCCAAGGGTTAGTGTCAATGCGCCTCATCACTCAAACGCGCAACATCATGGCAACCAATGCCCCACCCAGCCTTGACGAATCTTCCAATGCTCAGGAAGAATCACTCATGCCCGATTCCCCACGGGCTCACCTTCCAAAAGCCACATTTGTCCAATATTTTGTCAACCAAAACCTCCCACGCCCACACACAGGTACGACCCATCAAGACATCATCAACGTGCTCCAAGCTTGAGGCATCACACCCCATGCCATCTTCTTGAATTCACCCCCTTCAGTGTTGCCCTTTGTCATGAATGACCCACAAAACCCCTCTCCTACTGTCAATCTACCCTACCCTGCCAGCACAAGGGCAAAGACATCAACACCGTGTTGGTGAAACTCACTGCTTTACAACTCGCCGCACACCCAACCTGCCGCAAGCTGTTTAACTTGCCGCTGTGATAAGTCATCTCAGTTGAAATTTGCTGCTTCAAAAACTTGCTGCTGTCTTCACAAGTTCACTTGCCACTACATTTTTTTCTTTCTCTGTTTTTTTTTTTTTTTTTTTTTTTTTTTTTTNTTTTTTTTTTTATTCTTTTTTTTTTTTCTTTTTTTTTTTTTTTTTTTTTTTTTTTTTTTGAAGGAGGAAGCATACCAAAGAAATGTGTATGCTTCTGTAAAAAAAGGAATTCAGCCTTATGAAGTTGAGAAAAAATATAGTAAAGTAACCAAAAATATTCAAAGTTTGCTGGACTCATGTTAGTCAAGAACCCTTTAAGAATATCTGGAGGGGGTTTCAATGAATTTATCCATGTTGAACTACTGTAGTAGTATTGGTGGCTAAATTATGTGCATTTCATTTATGGTGGCAAGGTTTTTCCATTGTATTGTATTGTACTGTTTGTTTCTTCTGTTCATATTCTGCTGTAAATAAATTTTTGAAAAAGTTGACAATCTGTCTGAATTTTTTTTTTATCAAGTATAGCAAGGTGAAACAGCAGCAACTTATAACTGCTGCCAGTTGTGACTGCGGCAAGAAATTATTGCAGCAACTTGTTACTGCAGTCACTTGCAGCAATGGCAAGTTCGGGTGCAGCAAGTTCAACTGCAGCAACTTTCACCTGCACCACATCTATGGCAACACCTATCTATGGCAAGCTCTCAATCTGTTCAATCACAAACACACATCTGAATGCTCTTGCGTGTCATGCCTCCTCAGCATGACACAGCCCTGTGTTGCCACCACTAACCAATACAATGTATGAACGCAGTCATCTCACATTTGATGCCATTGCAGCAGGTCTCTGTGCTCAGTTTGGCAAATCCTGCTGTGAACATTTCCAAGTGTTTCAAATGCTCATGTCACTCTTGGTGAAAACCTATGTCAATTTTGGATACCTTAGCCCAGCCATCAAACCCAGAAGGTAATGTTTGCTGTGAATGCACTATTAAAACCTTAAACCAAATTCTTGCTAAATCACCCCCCAACCCAATCAATGGGATGAGTATCTTGAACAAGCCACATGTGCTTCCAACTACACTCCACACTCAACAACCAACCTATCTCTGGTTTATCTACCATATTTACTCAAGTACCATGCACACCTTTTTTCTCGAATTTCAGAAGAAAAAAAAGGGGTGCACGTCATAAGCGGGTACACATTTTTGAAGAATTTTTTCTAAGTTCTATGTGCATTATATTTAATCATAATGGAGAAATTCGGAAAAAAAGTGACAAGAAAACTTTTTTGTACTGATGAAGTTGAAAATTGGTCAGATTTTTGTTAAATTCATGTCTAAAGTCAAACTTTTTGTTTCTATTTTCGAAATTTTGTGGTTTTAGATTTACAAAAAATTGGGATGCAAGTCATACTCGGGGATACAATTTTAGCCTAATTTCCAACTGAAAAAAACCCTGTGCGCGCCTTACTTGAGGGTGTGTGATACTCAAGTAAATACGGTATTTAAAAAGCGCTCCCTGCCAATCCCAGCAGACATCACCCACCACCAGACATCTCTCAAGAATTAGCCAAGGTACAATGTCACATTCAAAAGCAACGCAAAGCTTACTGTACAAATGCTAATAAATCCAAATATAAACAATTTTCTCCGGGTCAAAACATCACTATTCTCTCCAGCCTACCTACCATGCTCTGTCATGCAGCTTACAGGCATTTCCTCCCCAAAAGACTTGGCCCTTTCACAGTTCACCAGTAGCTGGACCAAGGCCAGTAATGCACACCCACTGGAATATGTACCACTCATGCCTGGGAAATGCAACCTTACAACAGCACACATATGTCGTCCCCCCCCCCCCTTCTCCACGTTCACACAAACTGCCACCTGCAGCATCAGCTCTAATCCATCCGTCCCTCTCCACAGAATCCTCCAACAAACGGGCCAGCATGCCCAAGCCAAATGCCGGCACACAGCCCAGTCCCTCCACCAACAGTGCATCTACCAGCACCACCAACAACGTGGACATCAACTGCAACAACAATTGCCTGCTTGCTGCTGAGGACACCCTCTATCTTGAGGAAGCCACCGGTCTTGCTGCCATCGACATCTTCGATGAGGATCAACTCCTTGCCAACCCACCCAGAGCTGAAGAAGACATCTCTGACCAAGTGTTGTTTATATTTGTGCATCCCCTAAACTTTTCGAAATTGCGACACCCATTTGGCATTGCCCCCTTTTGCCCGCAAAAATGGTCTCTCCCAGCATCCTCCCACCCACCCCACAGGGGCTTCTTCCCGGGGGGGGGGGGGGAGTAAGGAGCAGCGACACCTACGTCGCACACCCCCTTCCTTCTTTCAGGCGCGCGCTAGCATCCTCAACTTTTTCCCACCTCGCCAGCCATGCTAGGCTGAGGACAGTGGCAGCTCCGTCACTCCTGAACAAACCAGGAACCAAACAACATCCCTTCTCTGAATCCCAGAAAAGAAAAACCCAAGCTCTTAATCCGCGCGACTTGTGTTTGTCTCTTATACATATTTTATACAGACAAGCTGGGGGTGCCCAGCCACACCTGGGCATCATATTTAAAATTTTACCTGCATCTTTAAAATGACCAATATTTAGAGCATATATACATCAAGAAGCCAGTGCAGGGCCACCTTCATAATTGAGGAATTCAACAATGCAAAACTAAATGCAGAAATTTCGAAATTCCGTATTTTCCAGCTTTACTTGGCTGTAACTCATTTTTTATGGGAGTAATTTATATTTTAGTACATGATGGGCTGCGCACTGAAGTTTTATAAACTTCAATACTTCATCTGTTGAGAAAAGTTTGAGATTTATAAAGTTAAAACAGAAAACTGGGACGTTTCTGGAAATTTTCGTTTCCCAGGATCTGGCGCAGCATCCTCTGGGTTCCTGTCTCTGTGAAGCCTCAGGGAAGACTGACCCTCCTGGGAGGGAGACTCAGGGGGCGGGACTCGCGGGAGTCTGGGAGGGGGTGCCGCGCGCCTGTGCGTTTTGGCGGGAAAGTCCAGTGCATGGGAAAATTTCGAAAAAAGTTCCAAAATTTTATCTATAATTCACTCAATTGTGAATATTTTTTTATGAAAAAAACATCAGAATTTAGACAACTTCAGGGCGCATCTAACCATGTAAAAAATTTTAAGTTTGGCCAATAAGAAAATTTTAAAATGATTTTTGAATACCAACCTTGGAAATTTCACTGCTGTGTGGCATTAAGGCTCCAACATTTCACTGTCTTTTAGTTTGGATTGGTAGGGCCACAATGCCACACAGTATTTCACTGTAAGAGATTAGGGCCCCAATACAGCACTTCCCTATCTGGGAGAGCCCATCCACACCTGGGCATCATTGAAAAAAATTTAGGAACTTCTAATACAGAAGGCCACATGTTATGTACTGTATCAGATTGAGTGCCCAGCTGCTTTGCAAAGTTTTACAAAGATTCATGGTAAGAATAGGTCACATGTTCAAGGTGACTGATTCATTGTGCTCAATACCTCACCTGTAACCCTGAGGGTCCTGTGGTGCTATTTTATTTCTATGTTCATGTATTCCAGGTGTTTCTTAGCCACACCTGAATATCATTTCTGAACTTCAGCAAGATAACAGCTTGCTTGCTTGCAATTGAATTATGCCACCCCTTCCCCAGTGGCCTTCCTTCAAAATTTGTTCAAAGAAAGCTAATCTATTTTTATTGAAGCAAATTAAAAACACATTCAAATGCATAACACCACCAAATTGTAGAATATGAGCTCCCACTACACCACCAAATAGTGGGAGAAAACAATTTGGGAGATGAGCTGAGGCCACCCCCAGTGGCCTTGCATCAGAATGGAGACCTGTGCAATTCTGACTGCTTCAATCCAAAACAACACAACTCACACATAAATGTTGGGCTCATCTGGAAACCTACACATGGCATCAAATTTGTGAGTGGTACATAAGCAGGGGGTTCTGTCATCTGTAATAAATCCCAGGTCTTTCACTTTTGCCCCCCCCCCCCTTGTTGCACCACTATGGACATGCCTTCACTGAACAATCCCTGTCTTGGAAAATATAGTAAATTTACATCCTTTTTCAAATGAGAAAGGCAGCAAATTAAATCAGTAAAAATTCATAGAAGAAAAATTTTTTCCCCAATTTTTGTCCAGTTTTCCAACACTTTTCTGCATTTTATTTTGTTTTGTGTCAATTTTCAAGTTTTGTAAAAACTTAAAATAAGAAAATGTTGTAAACATGATGGTGTTTGTGAAAAAGGTTTGAAAAGTAGGTTTGGTGAAGAATTCAATGTTTTATAGATTTTTAAAATTGACAAAATGGTGAATAAAATTTTCAAGCAATCTCCAATTTTTCACTTTAGCTCATTGTAACTTTTTAAATATTCCCTCTATAAACAAAATTTTACATGGCTGTGTGCACATAAATGTTTGACAAATGCAGATATTTTAAAATATAAATAATGTTCAAAACTTCGTGAATTAAAATTGAAAAAGTAAAATTATTTCTTTGCGATTTTTGTATGATTTTCAAAATTAATTTTAGATTTTTCACTGTATCTCTGTCAATTATCAACTTTTTTTTATGTTAAAAAAAATAAAAAGTTGGAAATTGAATGGCGTGTGCAACATTTGAAGAAACTTGTAGTTTTCTTATAAATTCAAAATTTGCCAAATTTTTGAAATTGAAAAAGTGGGAAACATGTTCTTCCACAGTCCTCCCATTTTTCACTTTAGCTCATCATAACTTCTGTGTTTTTCACTAAATTTAAATTATTTTTTGGGAGTGTTTGCGCATAGATGTTTTGCGAATTTACATATTTTTTTGATGGAGTAAAGTCGAAAATTCAAAAAGCTAAAATTTTAATTGTAAAAGTGTTTTTTTCCCATTTTATCCCTGTTTTTGAAAAATGTTTTGCGTTTTTCATCATAACTTCATGAATTTTTAAGCTTTTTCAAAATTAAAAAAAGGAAAATATGGATAACATCATGGCGCTTTTTTTAAAGTTTTCAAAATTCATTTTGGTTCAAAATTCAAATTTTCCCAAATTTTCAAACTTTGAAAAACGGGAAACAGGACCCTTCTGCAGGCCTCTCTGGGGTCTCTGTGGGAGGGAGGTAGGGGGAAAAGTCAGGAGGGATGGAGTAGTCAACGGAATCACCGACAAACGCAAGTAACTTTATTATGTAAGATTTACTCCTACCTGCCGACAATAAACTACCCACTGTGAATACGCCCACGTGATCAATTTGTGCAGATAGGGCCACTCTTACTACTAAATACCAAACAAGAGAAATACTGTTGCATCAAGCATTATTGTGAGGCGGCACACTCACGTTGGTAGTAGAACAAGAGCGCGGCGGGAACAACTCGGTTCGCGTGGAATCCAATCGTCACTCGGTTCCCCTTGACCGCAATGACCCTCACTGCATTTGACTGCCCACATAGACTCAAATCGAGGTCCGTCGACCGGATGTCCACCGACCCGTCCTTGTCGCACAGTCCAGTCTCGAGATTAACTTCTGCTTCCACCCCACAAAAACAATTATTATTATTTTTTTTTTAAATAATAATAATACTGTACTCTTATAAAGCACAGCTAAATACATCAAGTGATGAATGAATTCGTTGTACAGGTACTGCACCTCGCATGCTAATGTCTAGCGGGGCAACAAGCAGCGAGGAGTTGTCGGGGGCCAACAGCGTCCACGTGCAATTGGCCTCCGACGTCGTCCCGGGATAGCCGGGCGTCGAGACGAAGCCCCGACGAGCAGCTCCACTGCTGCCGCCATCTACCCGTATCAAGCCACCACATCCCCTCGACGACGAGCCTCGTCTCTCAAATCGTTCCCTCTCTGCACACACACACCCACGACAATACAGTTATACGGATTGGAAGACGTGGTCGAATGTACGGTTAGTAACTGTACTGTATTATCGTTAGTACTGTACTGTTGTAGTAGTGAAGCCAACACCAAGGCCAGGATGCAAGCAAGACACTGGTTACCTAGCCATTATCACCTCCACTAAACTAAACAACTCACCAGGCACACAGTAAAAAGCCAGCCGAAAAAGGGGCGGATCCGCATTACTACCATCACCACCAACACGTGGCTGCCAGCTGCACCTGCCAACTCCCGAACACCTTCACCGCGACAGACCAGAACAAACAGAGACAAGAGATGGGAAAAACCCCATGCACCCCAACAACAACGTCAAGCCCCTTTTTTTCCAAATAGCCAAGCAAGAAGGAAACGCTCACGTGGACAACAAGTCCCGCCACACGCTGGACGAAGAAAAGGCCGGCGGGTTCATCACGCGTGTCGTGGTGGTCGAGCGGGCATCATCATCATCATCATCGTCGTCGTCACCACCGTCTTCCTTTTCCGTGGCCCTTCTACTGGCGCACGGAGACCAAGTGGCAGAGCCGTCGCCGCGTGCCCAACTACTCGCATTCTTCGTGGCCCAGTCGGCACTCAGCAAGGCAATGACACGTCCTCTGGACCCGCAGTCCAGGTCCACCTTCTCCCCGCCACACGACCAGCTCACCTTGACTCGCCCGCTCTTGCCTGCATATCGTGGTTACAACACAATAAAAAGCATAACACGTTGTGAAATTACTGTACTGTACTTTACTGTACTATACTTGTACATTATTGCACCCGACTCACCGAGAACTTGCTCCAATGATGACGGGTACTTCCACTCCTTCTCGGCCAAGTGAAACACTCGCCGCGGGAATGCATTCAACTCCAACTCTTCTTCTTTCTCGTGCTCGCTGTCATTGATGACTGTGGGCAACACAAGGAGGAGGAGGAGGAGGAGGAGGATGACGACGGAGACCAACGAAGACAACGGCTTCGACGACAATGACAAGACAGCGTAAACCTTCCGCTGCCAGCCCATCCTGGCTTCCCAACCATATCGATCCTCAATCACAATCGTCACTACCAACACTGCACTGTATGGCACTGCACTCGCTTTTCCCCCCACCTCCTTTCATTCGAAACATGAATTCACAGCCTGCCTGCCTTCCTTCAACATGAATCAAAAAGTCACACGCATTAAATTCGTCAACTCGACGTTTTCCAACGAAGAAAATAACCAAAATGCCAAACAAACCAAACTTGGTCAAAACGGATTTCAATACTCCAGGGCCCTCGTTTTCTTTTGGGGAACTGCTGACAACACCATCATCATCCATTCATCCGAAAACACCACTCTCAGAATGACTCACTCCGATCACCTTCTGGTTATAAATAATATCTGCGCATTTCACTTCATATCACTGCTCACTCTCTCCCCCCCGAACCCCCTTCAATGCAATATGCGAACAACAACAACAACAAAAAGGAAGGAAGATAAGCATGAACAAGCCCTCTTGTAATTTATCAAGCCACAACCAGTAACAACGAGTCCGGCACTGAGGCACGCACCCATCGTTCTCCCGACGATAAACTTGTCATTGTAGTTGCACTCGTCTTTGCCAAGCCTCCTCCGAATCCACTTTCCCTGCTGCTGCTGCTGCCACCACCACCACCACCACCGTCTGTTCCGTCTGCCGCCATAGTCACTCCCAAGGCCGGCGGCATGTGTGCCAGATTGTAGGCACCCGGACGCGTGAAAGCCGCCTTCATCACGATGCCGGTCGACGTTTCCCCGGGACCCAGACTCAAGCCCTTCTTCACTTTCCGCCCGACGAGCACAAAGGGACTCGAGATACTGCTCCCGCCGCGAATCAGCCCGCCGCCGCCAGCAGACACCACGCTGTGCGGCAACGCGTCTCCCGATGCGTCCACGGTGACGATCACGTGGGCATGCGAGCAGTTCTGCACAAAGAACCGCACTTGCACGACGCATACCCTGACAAGAAATGACAAACACGGATGGAATTCAAATCCACAGAGGGACAAGCAATAAATCGAATAAATTAATCAATTAATCAAGAATCTAATGGAGAATTAGTATTGCCCACCTTTTCCGATCAAAGTCGTGCTTCGTCTCTGGCAAATGATCAAAGCGACAAGACAAAAAGTCGGCCCACTCTCCGCCCGCGTCTCCACATTGGCCAGACACATCGGACAGCCCATGGGCCAACTCCACACTCGACAGTCCCCAGGCCACACCCGCGTTCGGCCGACTCACCCGCCACACGCACGCCAGCCGTCGCTTCTTCTTCTCCTTCTCCTCCTCCTCCTCCTCACCTTCGCCGCCCTTTTTCACCAACAATTCCCCTCCTCTCCTAACATTGATTCGTGGGCCACGGAACGAGGCCGGCGGCGGAGAGCCAGAGCGTGGCCCAGCCCAGGCGTCTGGACACGCCGACGACGACAATGCAGCGTCCTCGTCCTGCCTCTGCTCGCGGGAATCCTCTTCCAGACCCTTCGCTGCCGCCGAAGCTGCAGCAGCTGCTCGACTTGCCGCGTGCACGGCTTGAGCGAGGAAGGCTGCCACGGCCGTCCGTCTGTCGGCAGAGGCGACGGACGGACTCGTTCCAACAAACGCATTCCGTTCCTCGCGGAGAAAGAAATGGTGGCGCTGCTGAGGACCCAATTCGACTGGAGAACAAGAAAAACAGTACTGTATTGAGAAATGCAAAACAAAAAGAGAATACGAAAGCGACGCAAAATAATCACGAGCAACAATTCTCCTGCTCTCACCTTTTTGCGATTCGCAGTTGAGAAGGTTGCTAGACGCTCCGCCCAGGACAGACATATTCACCAACGTGGCCTGGCCGCCGCTCGACTCCGACAATGGCTGCATTAAGGAAAAGAAGAAAAAGAGGAAAAGAAGAAGAAAAGAAAATTAAAGCAGATCTAGTCAATCAATATACAGTACAGTGGTAAAATTACCTACCCTGGATTCGTTCTTCACTTCAACAATCATATTGAATGCGTCTCCGCTGCCCTCGAGTTCCTCGTCAGACTGGATGGTCCGCATCCGAGGACACCGCTTCCAACTACCCGAAATCCCAATGCTGGGCTGGACATCCACTTGAAACGCGTGTCTCAAAATCCGATGCCTGCAACAACAAAAAAGGCGAGTACAGTACTGTACTGTACTGTACAATGCAGTAGACACAGACGCCAAGGATCGGGAAAAAAAGAGTAAAAGCAAAAGTGAAAACAAACCGGCGTCGTTTATCCGCTTTTGCAACGGCATTGCGGTCCGCCTGGAAGAGAATGAGCACTTGCGATCGCCACTTGCCAATCACGCCTGGTGCTCGCAACCACAGCGGAACCGTCATGCTTTCTCCTGCAAACATCACAGATGAATGAACCCATGCACAACTCAGTGCCTTACGAAGACCATTTAAATACAGTAATGACCCCGCGGGACCACCTCGGTCGAAATGACGAATAAAAAATACTGCAATAATGAAAGTCTGTCTGTCTGTCTGTCTGTCTCACCGGGCTGGAGGACCTTGCCCGCCGACAAAATGGCCCTGACGTGACCACCCGAGACGGGGGCCAGATGCATGTCAGTCGTAGCAGCCGTCAACACGTCCTCCGCCTCCTCCTCCTCGTGTCCGTCCGCTTCACTGCCCAATCGAGGCTGGCCCACAACCCAACACTGGGCGTCGCGGAGCACCAACACCAAGTGAGCCACGCTAGCAGGGCCCACGTTCCGCACCAGCAGCCGACAAGGACGCAACTCGTTCCGCAACATCGTGTCCGGGATGCCAACGAAACCGCACTTGTCAAAAGAAATCATTCATTCAGTCACATGCTCAAAATCAAGTCAAGTCACGCCACACTGCGTTTCTCTCCTCATCTACAAACTCACAGCCAATGACGCTGTCGGGGCGACAACGTTGACAGAAAAACGCTTGTCCACACCGTAGACGACTGAACAGCGCTCGGCTTTCGTGTTGTTCAACCTCGGGCCAGCAAGGCGGAATAACTGATGCCCCTGAGCTTCGACTGCACTGTTTGCCGACGACGGCGGAACGGCGTTACTTTCCAACACGGGTTCGCACCTCAACTTGTACCTATACCAATGGTGGGGTGCACATACAAGTACGTATAGTAAAGAAAGGAGTTCATAGTACAGTAAAGTACTACAGTACGCAGGAAGACCTATAATAAACTCTACCTAAATCCGAGGATCTCGATTCGGCCTTCCCCGTGAACAGTGAGGCTAATGTCCAACTAGCAGAAGAAAGAAAAAAAAAAGAAAGAATGTCAACATCATCATCATCATTGTCAATATTCTCTCTTTCTCTACTGTCTCTATTACCGTAGACACGGATTGTGCCTCAAGAAGCAACGCCTGTCCGCATTCGGCCTGCACGACTTCCCCGGACCCGGTGAATTCCCACGAGAGCTCCACGTCGCGCATCCCCAGGCGCACTTCCAACGGGTTCTTCAACACGACCCGCACCAAAAACCTCTCTGACAGACACGAGCAAATGTAAGAACAAAAAATAAATAAAAAATCAGGCTAGCCACTCCAGTGTCCGTCGACGAGTGCTCTTGTGTGCCAGCATGAAACTCACCACCGACGTACGCGACTGGGTGATGCAAATTATTCGTGCCCGGACCGAATCGTTGCAGCGTCGGTTGGAAAATCGGCGACGCATTCCGACGCTCGGCTGCTTCCAGCGCCAATTCTTCCATCTTTGCCCATCTTGTGGAGGATAAGAAGAAAGCGAATTTGAAAACATGGTCCTCCTCCAACCCCTCCTAAAAGTTAATAATAATATTAATAAGGCACTCACAAAGGTTCTTCATCGACGCTGTCATCGAAAGAAACGCTCGTCGCAGACACAGCCCGATGGTCAGCGCAGTTTTCAAGAGCTGGGCCAGGAATCAAGAGTTGGCAATCGTTTGCCAGAATGATTGGCAAAGGAAGTTGCACTGCATTCCGTTCTTCCTCGTCAGCTTTCTGTACATAAATATCAATATTGATAACGATAATAAAAACACACAAAGAGAAAAATAAAGTCTTTGAAAAAAAAAAATAAAATAAATAAAAAGAAATTTGAAAAATGACAACGACAAAACGTACCTGATGAGTCAAGAGAAACTCCTTGACAAAGGCCTCTTGCTGCAAGGGCTTCTGGCCCGCCGTGTTGGCCACCAGCGCCAACAGCGCCTTGAGCGACACGCCAGCAACGAGTCCCCTTGCCTGGCGTCCGATCGTGTAGTTGATGTGGTCTTCCGCCAACTGCCAGCCCCGTCCCCGATACACGCTCAACGCGAGTTCATAGGCCCGCACCGTGTGTCTCTTCTGGCCGCTCTTGTAGAACCGGTGGCCAGCCAAGACCATGTGGAAGCCAAACTTACGCCGCATGGCCCCGCCCTGGGTCCGGGTAAAGCACCAGGCGGCCTGCTCGAGAAACAGCGCGGAACGCAGGTCCGAGTCCTCGCCACTCAGTCGAATGTAGGCCAGCGCAGCCTCCGACCACAGGCCACGGGCTCGCAGCACGGCTGTGCTCAACAGTGCCGTCCTCGTCGCCAGTTCCGGCATTCGACACACGTTCAAGTACGAGCTCACGGCCATCTCCAGGTATCTCAGCGGTACCTTGGAAAATAACGAGAGAACAAAGAGGGAGAGAGAGAGAGGACAAAGCGGACACGCCAGGTACAGTACTGTACAACATTCAAGTCAATCGCAGTCTCCCCCGAACCTGCTTCATCATTTGCTGCTGCGCCTCAACCAAGTTGTTTCCTGCCGCACTGCTGCCACTCATCATCCCGGCGGGACCAACAGCGGCGGCAGCGTGCAAGAAAGCAGACACAGCCGCCATCTCCAGGGCGCCGGCCATGTGCAGCCAGGCCTGGTCCGCGTCAAAGTCCCGCTTGGCGTTGTGGTACGCCTGGTACGCCAGCTCGTAGTGCCGGAACATGAAGCACAAGTCCGCCAGCTTCCGCACCTGCAAGTACAGGATAAACGAAACTAGTGAAATAAAAGTGAAAAGTTTGATTCACTCGTTTCTTTTCTTCGTTTCCCCCCCCCCCCCCCCCCCCCCCCCCCCCCCCC